TTTTTTTTTTTAGACGCCTTAATTTCATTTCGCGCCCCGTAGATATCTGCCTCCCAGGACAAACTGTCCCGGTGGCCCTGTCTCTCGGCGGCCCTGTCTGTAGTATTGCCAATTAACTTATTTGTTTTATTTATAACAGTTTGTAATATTCACTTACATTATTTTTTTTATAACAGATTGTAGTTATAAGCAATAGCTGCACTAAATGCTTCAATAATTGCACTATATTTAATATTTAAATTATAATTTAAAAAGTAAGTTAGTTAGGTTATAATAAGAAAAACTTAAATTTGTATTCGAATTCATTTTCATTTCTCAGATTTTATAATTATTTTACTGAAAAATTTGACGCGTGTCACGTGCTGTAATAGAATAAAAATGGAATAGAATGAGACAATCGAATTTTTTATAGATCTAGAATCAATTCTTAACATTCCTTGTTAATTATATTGTTAACGACACGTTCAGAGCCGGTAAACAATAACAAACACTATTTTAAAATGCTTTTATGTTATCAGAAACAGCTAGAATAAGATCTATACTTAAAAAATGATATTTATTTAAATTGATATTTAAGTAATATAATACCGATGATAAAATTGACAAATAAACATATTTCGTCCAGCAAAGAAATGAAATTAATGTTGAAGATATGCTCTTTTTTATTCTATACTATTCTTTTTTTTTTTAGTTTTTCATTTATCTTTGCACCTGTCAAATTTCATTAAAATATATTTTGTAGCAGAGTGTTGATTTTTTGACGCACTTTTGGTACCTAATTTTCATTCGCCCGAAATGGTCGCGAGAGACAGAGGGGTTAATTAAACATTTTTTATATTTGATTTAGATTAAATAAAATTTTCATTAAAAAATGGAAAATAATGACAGAGATAAAGGTTTTCAATATTGTTTCCTATTCATTAAAATTTTGAAATAAAATCATTAGATAGTAAGATGTTTTTTACTTCTTTGTTGTTGTACTTCAAATAACATTTTATAATTGAAATTTTTTTTTGATATCATCACCACACCCACCTTCATTAACATACGCCTCTCATATACTTTGGTGGTTTAATATAAATTTATCACAACGTTTTTGTATATTTAAACTAATTATGTCTGGAAAAAAGGCTTTTTTCCGAAAAAAGTGTTCAATTTCTTATGGTAAAGGCGGTGGTTTGTTGCCCCCTCTATCGCCCTGGATATGCCCGATGGTTAGTATTCAATAAAAATTTGTAGTCCACTCTTACACCTATCTTTTGATATCAAGATATTTATATTTTGGTAAGAATTGACAAAGTTATGACTATTTAAGTTAAAAAAAAACTTAATTGTGATCACAGTTTCTTCAACAAAATCCATATATCGAAAAATCGGTACCTAAACCGTCATAACTTTTGAAGGAATTGTTCCATTTTAATAATTTTCACCTTTAAAATACTGTATTGATCCTCTTTCCAATGATATATAATAATATAATATTTAAGCAATTTAAATATGGATTAACTTGAAATGAAGATCATGAAGCAAGTCTTTTTGAAAAAATTGCAATAAGTGATAGCCATGTGATAACGTTTATCTTATTAGCCGAATTAACTAATGAGATAAACTCTAATTAAGCTAAACTTTTTAAGAATAATTTTATTGATTAAAATTATATCACATTTCAAAGCGTAACTTGAGCATAAGTCAAGTAAATTTTGGAAATCTTCGGTTATGATGCGCATGACAATATTATTAGAATATAGAAGATGGTATATACATTTTACAAAAATATGATCTTAAAAAGATAAATTTTTAATTAAATATATTAAGTACTACTTAAGAGAAACAATTTTGATATTTCCAATTAGTTTTTGCCTTTCCAATCCATGTTTTTGAATTACATAATCATACACTGTATGATTGTATTAAACTACTGTATTCTATGTAGCAACAAAACATGGATTGGGTGGCCAATTAAGAAATTTATTGTTAGAGATTTCTATATGCTCTAAGATAAAGCCATGTAGAGGTTTCATGAAACTTCCTCTGTTAAAATTATACCAAGCATAATTAAAAGAACTTGTGCACAATTTTTTATAAAAATATTTATGTTTTTTGTGTGTAGCACTTTATGTTAAATATTATTTAAGTGTTATTTTTAGATGTTTTTGAGATATTATTTTTTTTTTGTTTTTTTTTTTGTTTTTTAGAGAATAATTCTATAATTAAAAAGTTGAGTAACATTTTTTGTACGTTTAAAGATTTTTTTTAGCTTAAGAAAAGTTCTTTTTCAAAAGTAAATTAATTTTTGAATAAGAACACAGTAAGTTACAGAGTGAAATATCTATGAAAGAACACAGTAAGTTACAAAAGAACACAGTAAGGTTCACAGCAAAATATCTCGTTTTGAAGTATATATACTGTTTAAACAGTAGGAGAACAAAACCTCCACTTTGGTGCGATAAACATGATCGCGATTTCTTGAAAGAGTCTTGAAAGAGTCAAAATAAAATTGCTCGGTTTTAATATTTTGATCTGTTTGCAAAAATCGAAGAAAATAGAGTTATAAGAAAATGTTTAATCCATAAGAGTGAAGAAGCATATACATAAAGTTTAAAAAAGTGAAAGTAATTGTTAAGTAGATACAAACTTTTTGATTTTTATGTATTATAGCGCGTTTAAATTAAATTTAGAGAATTTATCAGCAACCATTACTTAAAAAATCACCCGCTGCGATTTACCAATGAAACAAAATCATTGTCTGTTGGCATCACAACGTTTAGATGCGATGAGAAAAACAGCACAAAAACTAGTTTATGGAGTTGGCTAACAAAGAAATTTCCAGGACTGACGGCACGGGTTTCGAAGTGGGGAGTGGGGGGAGTGCACAATCGTCAATTTCTAAAAAAAGTTATCTATATCTAGAATTTTGTTAAAAAAACAGAAAAAAGTGTATGTGTGTGTGTGTGGGGGGGGGGGGGGGGAAAGTGCCCTCCGGAAAAATTATCGGAGCAGTTAATAAACGGAGCCTTAACGCAAGGATTAGAATTTCATTTAACCGGCCGTTTAGAATTTTTTTCTTAAAGACCACTTAAATTCTCTGTTAAAAGAGAACTAAAATGTTAGTTTAACGAAGAGATGTGAATAAGACGGCAGGTCATTTTAATTGTTTTAGTTACAGGAGTTAATTAATAACTTCATTTTTTATCTGTCAAAGAAAAATATTTTGTGGGAAAAAAAACGGGCCCAGCATAGGGCCTTGCTTTAGAATGTGGGGGCCATGTATACTAAGCTGGATGAATAAAAAAAAGCAATTGCTTTTACTTAGTAGTTGGTCGACTATATATGAATAAAAACTTTAGCAATTTTGCTAAAACTTTTATTCATTCATTCATTCGCGTAATTATCATAATTTTAGGTTAACTAATCACATTCCACTTTGAACAAAAATTATCCAATGATGTTGTTTCAAAACGTCACAAGCAATTGAAGCATTGCAAATAAAAGATTTTTTTTTAACTTTTATTCCCCAAAATGTCTTTACCACTGAGCACCGCGTAAAAGCATTTGAAAAGAAGTTCATGCCTCCTTTATTACCGATGCCATAAAACTTGCCCTGAGGTGGCGTTTAACCCCGGATCTCTAGCTTTGGAGGCAAGAGTGCTAACAACTGCGCTACGGCTGCTCTCACAGCTAAAGATGGCAGTTTAAAATATAAACAATATTTAGAATCAGGACAGATGCAGTATTTTTTGGTCTTTGAGATATCTAACTTCCAGAAATGGAGCAAACTCCAAACATTTATATGCTTATACTTATGTCAAATCAAAATGCTTTGCAAAAAATTGCGATGATTGGAGCCTGGGAACAAAAAGCTCTAAAATATTTGGCTCCTTCCCCACGCCCCCGCCCCAAACGTGAGAGCTACATATTGATAAAATATTTTTTGTTCTATTTTCAACTAGACTTATATTCATCAATAAATTTTTAATTTATCTTAAATTTTAAATTTAAAAAAATAAATTTTAAATTACAAAAAAAAATATTAAAATAATATTTTAGCGTTCAAAAATTATGACCATATAAAGTTCTCCTCAATTTGAGGGAGTTGTAATTTTTGTATGGATGTAATTTTTGAATGCTGAAATATTACACTATGAAACTTAAAATCTCTCGATGGATATAAATCTATCTGAAAATAGTACAAAAAATATTTTATCCACTTAGATAGATAGATATATAATCTTTTTTGTCAATATAATATTTTTCGATGGATATAAGTCTAGCTGAAAATCTCTCGATATATATAAGTCTAGCTAAAAATAGTACAAAAAATATTTCCTCAACTTAGATATTTTTTTTTTTTTTTTTTTTTAATTATTTAATTTGCTGTTGATAAATATTACAAAAAAGAAATTACAATAAAAGAAAATCCTGGCCGGAGCAAGAAGAAGACAGGTTGTCTTATCACCGAGCCCCGTCACACAAAAATTTACATGCACAATAAATGATAAAAGACAAAAAGACAGTATAAATACAAAAAAATAGATAGATATATAATCTTTTTCGTCAATATAATATTTTTTTACAAAATTGTTAACGTAACAAATTCACTGGAACAAGCAGAAGACAATGATCTTTTCATCTTGCCCCGTTAATTTCAATTTATTTTATAATAAATATCAATTAAATATAAGATAAACCCAAGTTATAAGATATTTAAATATATATAAATATAAAAACTCGAATGATTAAAATAGCCAATTAAATGTATCTTTATAAATATAAATACAATTAAATGAATTTTTTATAAATATGACCACAATCATTTCCTGCTATTGCACAGTGGACCAGGTATATGGGAAGTGGTGGACAAAACCTAATTATTACCCAATTGGTCCACAAACCCATTTAGATATATAAATAATCATTATATATGAAATAATATTTATTTTTAACAAGAATATTTTAATTTTTAATAAAAAAAAGACATTTAATAGGCTTAGGTAGTAAAAAAATATTTTTTTCAATATCAACCTTTTTTAAAAATCAAACAACAAATTGTGTTTAGCTACAAAGAAAAAGAAGAAGGTGGAGCTGATTCCCTCAGCAAAACCAAAACTTCACTGGGGTATTTTTTTAAATTCTTACTATTTTTTTTATGACACTTTCTTAATGATGTTATGACAGGATCACTAGATACAAGTAGCCTGTTAACTAGGTCACGATTTGTGTCGATTCTGGAAGTCTTTCTACTGAAATCTTCCCTAAACTTTTTAAAATCCTTGTTACAGGCCTCTTGGGCCTCCTCTGACATCAGTCCAATTGGCAAGTACTGTCTAGCAATGATGGCATGGCCATGAACTAAAATTTTGTGTACTGATTGTGCCATGCCAGGAATACTTAGACATGTAAAGTTTAAGAGCAGTAATACAGAACTCTTTAAATTTGACAGTGTCAATTTCAAATCCAGATGATAAAGTGACTAGTATGATGTAAAAATAAAATAAAAGAGTTTCATCTACTTTCAAAATTTTGGCAGTTGATTGATAGTTTGCAAAGGCTCGTCGGGCAGTGTTACCATCATTACTGGTACCTACAAATTGTATATATGTGATAGTTAACCTGATGATTTATATAAAAGTATTTATGTAATTTCACTTACCAGATCCTCCACTTTTTGGGAAATCCACAACTAGTCCCATTTGGTTCATAAATTCTGTCTGTATACGTTTCTTCACTTGCATAACATTTTCCTTATCTTCTATAGCTCTAGACTGCCACTTTTGAGTTTCTAGTTTATATCCAATATGCAATACCATCTCAAAAAACCTAATCCAGGCATGCAGGCTAGAAAGACCATATTTCAATTCTAAATTATTAGAATTGTCCAATTTCAGCACCATTTCTAAGTTATTCATATTTTTGGAGACACACCACACACAGAGCAACATTGAGTTGAGTTAGTCACATGAGACAGAATAGTTTGAATTTTGCCATCAATCATGGTCAGTTCAATAATACTTTTGACAACCAGTTCCTTTCCATTAAAAGTAAAATTAGAAACACCACATTTTTTGATTTCAGATTCTAAATATTTTGCTTCTTCTATAACAACTGCTTTGCTTTCATTTTGAAAAGAAAATCTTATTGGACGACAATATGCAGTAGATGATGGCTTTTCATTTCGCCATAATAGTACTTTTTTGTTATTACAGAACCCACTGAGTTCTAGTCACGTTCTTCAGCTCCATTTCTCATAAGTTGGTAGGTTGATTTTGACATGCCACCATCTATAATTAATGCCAGACCTTCATCAGGTGTATACTTTTTAAATTGACTAGAAGGTTCTGATATCTCAGCAACTTGCTTGGCAGCCTCATAATTATACTCATTTCTTAATTTAAGCCTTGCTGAGTGGAGCAACTCATCACTAGAAAAATTATTTATAATATCATTAAGTCTTCTCCTTTTGGTTTTTATCAGAAGCATCTTTAAAGGAACAACTTGGTCTTCCACCAATTTTATGTAATTGACTAGAATTATCAGGCTTAGATATATTATTACTGTATGTAGATTTAAAGTCCTGAGTCAACCAATTTTTATTTTTACTCTCAAACTTTATGTTTCCTCGGATTGCATCCTTCCATTTCTTTTGATAAACTTTTAAAAATGCAGCACACCCAGTAGAACCCAAATTTATAGAGACTAAAATAGATTCTACAAACAAAGAAAATGATTTATCACTCGGATTTAGTTGGTCATGCCGTATACGGTTATGGACATCACTTATCTTCATATCAACTACAAAAAAATTAATTTCAAATTATTAGTGCAACCACTATAAACTAATATAACATGAATATGGCCATTATTTTTATTTCAGATATATTTAATTAGGCCAGTACAATAAGCACAACACCTAATAATGACAACAAACCAAAAAATAGGTTTGTCGCGAATAGCATTTTACAACAATATATATTTTTTAAATGTTTACCAAACCTAAAGGGGCAGCTATGAGCAGAATAAAACAGCACCAACAGGCTGTACATATATTGTATTAACTTATTCTAACATTAATATGCTGTTCCAGCAGGTTCTAAACTATATGAGCCACTTTTAACATAATATTTTTATACTATAAACAAGAATCTTACCTTTATATTTCAAAATAAAACTGTGACTTTAATACAAGACCTTGGAATTTGTTATGGTATTTTTTGAAAAGCTATCAAATTAAATTTTAATAATATGTCAATTAATTTCGCATATGTTAAATAATTTAAAAGTTATTTGTTGTTATAGTTATGTTGTTATGGTATATTAAAAAAAAAAATTAATTAATTAATCATTATATTCAATTGTAAATAATAATTGTACATTTATGATGTACAATCAAACTACAAATAATGTTTTAAACCATACATTATGCTCTTATAAATATAATGTACTAAGTAGTTGGAAGTATTTCGAAATTTTTTTTTTGAGGCTTTGTCTACCACCTGGCCCACTGTGTGTTGTGGAAATAAAAAAAAATTTCAAGAGATGTAAGAGTTTTTAAAAAATAAGAGATTGTTTTAGTAATGTTGAGGTCAAGTAACTGTTGTTTAACAACGCATTTAAAATGTTGGAAATAGTTTTATTCGTTTTATTCTCATTTGTAAGAAATGAGTTCCACAATTGTGGTCCTCTTCTAGATACTGAGAATTTGGATTGTCTCAAAGACATTTTTGGAATATATTAGTTCTGCTTAGAATATTTTGATTCGTATTTATATTTTTTTTACTTTCGTATTATATGATCAATAAGTTGGAAGTAATTATGGAACATTTTTGGGACCAAATTATTTTTTAATTTAAACATAAACTTAAGGATGCTATAGATGTTTTGTTCATAAATATTAAAAACTCTCAGTTCTTTCATTATTTGTTTAGCACTAGCATATCCATTTGTGAATATGAGGCATGCTTGCTTTTTTTTATAGACTAAAGCTAGTTTATTAAAAAATTTTGTTGTATAGTTATTTCGCTGGAATAATTATACAACAAAGACTGTACTACAATTTTAAACGATTTTTGGCTTCGTTCTCCCTTATTTCTTAGCTTGAAGAATTAAAGTATTGAATTAAGAATCGTAATTTTGGTGGTATTAGAAGTTAAGCAAGTATACTATGTAACATTGATAGTATTATAACCTGAGTTTTCTGAATGTTTTAGTTTTTTTTGTACTTCTGCTACTACTGGACTGCTTTAGAAAAATATTTTTGATTCTACGAAGAAAAATGTGTTTAGAATGATCATTTTAATGTAAGACAATTTTGAGCTGTCTACAAAAATGTTTAATTACTTTTATCTGTGGAGAAAAACAAATCCAATAGCAACTGTATAAAGGACTCGAATTTTGAGACAGCTTTCAATTTAAATAATTTTGTGATGTGTTGCAATCAAACAACTGCAAAATGCAAAATTTATGAAATAGAAATTAAACGACCTAAAAGAAACTCCTTTTTCGAACATGATTATTTTTACTGAAATTATTTGAAATTATACAGGATTATGTTTACTGAAAAAGTTTTAATGCAACCAATGGAACAAGCTCAGAAAACATGGCTATATGGCTATTTTTAGATTATGTCATAGATGTGCAGATGTACTCTTACCTAGGCCAACAGACAATCCATTAACTTTTATGTCACTAGTTTGTGAAGTGAAAACAACTTTTGTGAAACTCATTGACAAACATCTTGAAAGAAGCTACTGGCCATGATTCTCATCTATAAAATTAAAAATGTCTTTCATTTTTAAGTTTTTGCACGATCAGCATGAGCAATATTAAGAACATAAGCAATAATAACATGAGCAATATTAAGATAACATTGTTCTGCTTTTTGTTATTACAAGAATTTTTATTTTATAAAATATTTAAACAAGGATATGAACACACACAATAAAATGCATTAAAAAAAATTGCACCTAGCGTTCAATTGAAATTGAATAGTATAATTTTAAATATATATTTCTATATTTCTCTTAAAAATATATTTCTAATATAATTAATGATATTTTAAATATATCTCATCGAAAGAAAATGTACTATTAACTACTTTGCTAAATTATTGGAAAGATTTTAAACATGTTTCTACCCGATTATTTCATTTTAATTGAAGCATCTTAATGTTAATCTATAGCAAATTGAAATACTTAGCAATAAAGTTTATTTGAAAAAATATATATTTAAAGATTAATATACGTTTAGGGTCTTTCATAAAATACGTACGCAGGTATATGGGAGGGGGTTACCCCAAAATGTATAAATGTGTAGAAGGGGGAAGGAGGTGTTAAAGACAGCGAATACGTACACGATTTGACTACCTCTTGTTCTCTATCTCTTTTAAAACCTGATTTTTTTTTCTTTTTAACAAAAGCATTCACGAGTTTAAAAAAATCAATATTAAGTTATGTAACAGAGAAATGTTGAATTAACTATCTTTTTGTTTTTATTGTTTTAAATAGTTTATGTGTTGGATAAGGATGGGAGTTGATTTTGTAATAAATAATGCGAACGTACACAGAAAAAGAAGAGAAGGGAGAGGGAGGGAAAGGGGGAGGGGGAGGGGGAGGGGAAGGGAGGGGAAAGAAAGAGTCGAATAAACGGGAGGGGGTCCTAAATCAGTTTTTTTACTGCGTACGTTCTTATGGATGCCCCTTTAGTTGCGGAAACCATTTCGATCAATTAACACGAATTTTGATTAACACGAATTTTTTGAAAAAGTGGATTGCCTTTGTAAATTTATAAATTAAATAAAACTTTATTTAAATTAAAGGTAGCCTAAAAATGAACTAAACTTCTAAGTTACTCATAGATTTAATTTAGTTATTATTACCATCATATTAATTAGTTAACAGAAGCCATCAAAAGCACTCGCGTTTCACAACATAATTTTATAAAGTTTACAAACTGTTGACGCTGATCTAATGTTAAGGTATCGATAGATAATTGGTCCGTTGCCCACGTTATCTGATTTTTTATTATGTCGATGCTGGATCCCTTTACATCCGCTAATGAAATATTATTCTGTTGTTTGAAATATTGCGCATCTAATAAATAAATAAATAAATAAATATATATATATATATATATATATATATATATATATATATATATATATATATATATATATAAACTTTAAAAAGATAAAAATATTATTGGAAAAAAATATACATAATAAACCGATAAAAATGATTACAAAAATGACTCGGTAAACCAATCAATATAACTAAAAACTGACAGTTAAATTGAATAGATAAAGTTAAAAGTATAAAGAGAAGTTTGTTTATTGAGAGTGAAATTTTTCCATTTAATGGGTAGTGCTTTTTTTACCTTTAACTTAATTTGGTTAGAGCAGTATCTAAAACCTCAAAGGAATTGCAATTAGACAATTATTTGCAAGTAATTGATGTATTTAAATGTTGAAATATAAAATCGTTTATTAGTTTTAAGCATAGTCATAAGAAATAGTCTGATCACTCGGGCCGTATTATGTGATTTTTCTAATATTTGTTTAAAACCCTTGAAAACTGTCGAACGGCCAGGAACAGAGTGCACAAAGTATGGAAATGGAAAAAGAGTTCAATCGGAAATTTGATATTGAAACATTTTTTTCTTTGGAGAATGATTTTCTTTTTGCAGACGAAAATTTTAATAAAGGTTTAGACGCCTTGGTATTGGAGTTGTCTAGTGAAGCTGACAACTCCAATACCAAGATATTATTCGTGATAGAGGAATTTGCATTAACAGTCTGACTAAAAAAACAATTAGACTTCTTGGCTATGAACTATGTAATCATGTTTTAGCATTTCTTACAAACTCATCTTACAATAATTATTTTGTAAATTTAAATGACATATCGTCAGTTGAAATTTTCAGATAGAGATAAAGAAATTATCTTGTATCTAAGTGGTTATGTATTTCGTACACTTTATTGCAGAGTTCGCAGTTCGCGGGTATGGCAGCCAAAGTTAAGCACAGCCTGCCTTTCATTTCTCAAAAGCATTCTTAGCAAAAATTCAAAAAACTAGAATTTATATTAAAAAATATTTTATATATGAAAAAAAGTCTTCTAGTCCTCTCTTGTATTAAGCATTTGAGATTATATATATAGGACTGCTCTGTGCTCAATTGGGTCAAGATTAAATTATGACAACATGTACCTAAGTGAACAGGTGTCAAATGAAGGTTTTTGTTAAGATTCCTTACTTTACAGATAATGTAAATATGCTAAGAGCAGGCATTGAACCACATATCTATTGCTTTTAATGCAAGCGATCTAACCACTACACATATAAAGGCTCTCTCATGCACCCAAAAAGGGTGAGGGACAGCAAATTTAGGGAGCTCTTTTCAAATTTTAGAGGTCCCTAAACCAAATTTGAGGAGCTAATAATCCAATACCTAATAATCAAATTTTTTTTAAAACTATGGTGTCCTAGTGCCATATTTTGGAAAAAATACACTTTTTATATATATGCAGTGGTACCTATGAAAAATAGATGAGCTTTAAGAAAGTCACCCAGTATCACCCCTAATTATATCTTTAAGTGGTTAATTAATTTTTATTTTTGTATAATCAGAATAAATTCTAATAATTATTTTTAGTTATTTTGTTTAATCAAAAAAACAAACATATAAGACCGAACTTGTAGCATAAAGGAACTTAACTTAAGACATGTATAATTTTTTTTTTTTTGAAATAAACTGATATTTAAATGGAATCGGATATTTTGAATAAATACATCTAAAAATCTCAATTTTTTGTTTTTTCGTCAAAAACTTCAAATTTTTATATTGTTTAATTAGGTGATTGAAAAATCCATATTTTAAATTTAGAATTAAAGATAGCAATTATAGTATCAGCATATCTTTATAAAAAAATTGCAAAATTTGCAACATCAATTGCTTGATCCTAATATTTTTGTCAAATAAAAAATTGGGCTGAAAGAAAAATATTTAGGGGTTGCGCAGTATCAATCTTTAAATTCTCACTGCAGCTTGTTGATCTGTCAGCAAGAATGTAACTGTAAAAATTATACAAGAAATACTAATTAACTCATTAAAAAATGCAGCCAAAAATTGGAAAATCACTTGTTAACTTAATAATTCGTAAAGATAATATACTTAATTTAAGATAGTACATACTTATGAATGTACAAATCAACATGTTCAAAATTTTTTTTTTTATATTTCTTGGCAAATCAAAAATACCATTAACTTATTACTCTTTTATGTACTCTACAGTTATGGACTCTATTATGGTAACATTATGTTATTAACTTTTTGCTTTGACACAACAAATAGTAACACTTGCTGGAGGGCAGGATGTGCTATTTAAATTAAGAAGGAGATCTGTCACGCAATTTTGTGGGCTACTTGCTGGTGCCACATTTATGAACTGCACATTAAACAAATCTGGGAAGCAATTATTGGAAACAATAATAGGCCAGTTATAATAGGCCAAAAATAGATATTATTAAGTTTGAATTTCCTACAGATGGAGATGATCATTGTCAACCAAAATTTGTCTTCAAATAGGCCAGCAATTGTCTATAATAGAATTCATTTCTAAGAGAAGATTATTGGGAACTTATTGAAACGGTAATTGCTAATCTTGGCAGAGAATTACAAGATAAAAGGGTTTTTTGGTTTAAGAAACCCAGTGCTTATTGCTGTGCAAGATTCATACACAATGAGCTATACATCTTTAAGTACATAATGTTGAACCAAAAATTAATTGGCTCAACCAGGACCAACATCATAAGCCTAGAAGAATGAGGGATTTCATTGCACTGTTCCAAGCAAACGCTTTTTTGCAAATTTGAAATTGTTTAAAGAAATGAACAAATCAAGTTTGGAAAACTAATATTTCCACAAATCGAACTGGATAAAACTCCTGTTTTTGTGTTGCTGATTGGGCCAGATTTCTGATTTACTCAAAATGAAACCTTATTAGGTGGATTGGTTGCAACTATTGTTGAACATTGGACAAAAATGAAGGGCTTTAATTATGTTAAAAAAGTAGTTGAGCTTTAAAAAGTGGTTAATGAGCTGAACAAGGAATCAAGCTGCTGCAAGATTTTAAAAACAAAGTCAAAGATCCAATGCACTTCACATCATTGAGAACCATTGGGTTCTTATCGGAAGATAGGAAAACTTAAATAAAATATAACTTTCATTTTACCTTTTTTTTAAGGAATTTTGTACATTAGTACATATTATTTTAGTCCTGTGCGACCCCAAAATATAAATATATCTTTCAGCTGAATTTTTTTTATCTGTATTATATTACTTAGTGAAAAATAACGCACTAAAAGTTCTCAAATGAATTTTGAAAAACTGATAGTGAAATCTTCAAAAATGTTGAAAAATATGCACGAAAACATATTGATGTTATTACATGATATTACCCAAACTAAATATTTGTGCTACCTCTAAATAATGTTTGATTATCCCAAAGTTTTACAATAACTATTCTTGAGTGATTATAAAGTACAAATAAAAAGTTTAAACTCAAAATTAAAAAAAAGGGGAGAAATGAGAGATCCTAATGCATGCCAAAGCATCAATGTTCTAAGAAAAAAAACTAGATAAAATAATAGATAGAAAGGAACTAGATAGAATAAAGATTTTTTGAAGGAATAGTAACAGTAGGAAAAAAAAAAAACTTCACTGAATGAAAAGTCACAGAAGAACTTCTGTTGAAGTTATAAAATAAAGCTAGAGAGTAATGAAGTAATGTTATTTAGGACAACACTTTTGTAAGACTGAGATAGGAATTTTGACCACAAACTGTAAAATAGTTTTAGTAAGATTTGCAAACAGTTCTGCTTGCATCAGTTTTAGTTGATCTTATTATATCTCCCAAGGATAAGCCTAGGGAGATATAGTAAGATCAAAATAAATACAAATTGGTTTAAAGAGTTTTTTCAAAATGAAGATGCTTAAATTGTCAGCAAAAAACAAGCATTTAACATCAACATATTTTATTAGAAACAAATAAAACAAGACAAAACCTATCTAACTAAAGTTAGATAGGTTTGTTAGATAAAGTTAGATATTGTAATAATAAACTTTTTCAGATATTAAAATCATACGTGCAACAATCACTTGGCTACTAACTGCAAACATTGGTGATAAAGGTAGTACTTTTTTATGCAAATAAATGCTGATTATGATTTAAAAATTTATTATTTTTATTTATAAACTATAGAATTTTGAAAAAAATATATATATAAACTTTGTATAAAGATTATTTATGCGAAACTAAAATTAACACATGCCAGTCAAGCAAATCATTATTGATGGATAGAATACGACTTGACGATGAGGCTCAGCTAACCTTTTTTATTGTCCCGAAAAATTGCAAGAACTGATCCAAAATAAATTCTGAAAATATATCTGAAGAGTTTTACTCATTTAAAATAAGAAAAGAATTAAGATCAGACAATTTTCCATTCTTGAAGCAATTAAATTTTATCATAAAATTTCCAGGTAAGCTACTTTTATGCGTATACAGAAAATTATATATTTTCAGCATTTAATTCTTATAAAATCTTCAGCATTTAATTCTTATAAAAAAATTCTTATAAAAATTTCATCATTTAATTTTTATAAAAAAAATGCTAAACTTTAAATGACATCAAAACTCTTCTTTTTTTTAATTTTTTTTTTTATTATTATTCAAAACATTAAATTTAAAATTTTTTGCCCTAATTTCATCTAAAAAAAACTAGAAACAATAGATACATAAAGTTACCTTTATTGATGAGTTTATCAACTTCTTCACAGCCCACACAGTATATTTCCTGTTGTTTATTTTGCATGAGAATAGCCTTAAAAAATACACAGTATATTTCATGTTGTTTATTTTGCATGAGAATAGCCTTAAAAAATTTAAAAGTACAGGTATCTTAAAATAAATTAAAAGTACAGGTAATGACCTATATTTGTTTTACGTCGTAAAGCAAAGATAAGTACATAAAAGCTGACCTATCTTCGCTTTACGACGGCATACAACTGCCAACCTAAATCTCTTAAAGTGTCGGCATGCAATAAAAAATATAAGTAAAAAATATGGTACATTTGTTCATTGTAAGATCATAATTTATTGTAATTACTTGTTTTTTCAAGTTTGACAAGTTTTATTTATAAAATTCAATAATTTTTTTATTATTCATTTTATCTTGTTTCTCAAATTTATTCAAGCATAACAATGTATTGATTTAAAAATTATCAAAAATTATTTTTCAAAAGTCTGTTTTTCTCAAATTTCTTTTTTTACTTGAAGTTTTAGCTTGATTATTATTTTATTAAGTTATCAAACTTAATATTAATTGATTTGATAGTTAAATTTTTTTTATTGAAAAAAAAACTTAATCAAAAAATCACTAATTCATAAATTTGCTACATACTTATATTTAATTGCTACATTCTATAAAATATAAGTGTCTAAAAGATATGCTCCTATAAGACAATCTTTTCATAATCAATCATTACCCCTTTTTGTGACAGAAAGTAAAAAATCCAAATAAATTTTTTGCCAACCTGATATCAGTTGAATACCCACTCTAGTGCCAACCTGAAATCCTTCGAATTTATTAGGCTATATATATATATATATATATATATATATATATATATATATATATATATATATATATATATATATATATATATATATATATATATATATATATATATATATTGATATTTAAGGTTATTTTTTCTTATAATAATAAAACAAAACTCATATTCGAAAAAGAGTGCTCAATATTAAAAAGATATTTCAAATAGAGCGATATACATATATATATTAACAAAGAAAAAACAACTGAAATATGCAAATGTTTTTTGAACTTGATAGACCTACATTTTCTGGTTGGTTACAAACTTCGTAAGATATTTAATCGAAATAACATTAAAATAAGCTACTCATGCATGTATGCCAAATATCAAGTCCATCATTAATTCGCAAAAAAAAACATTTGCCTATTTCAGTTGTTTTTTCTTTGTTAATATATATATGTATATCGCTCTATTTGAAATATCTTTTTAATATTGAGCACTCTTTTTCGAATATGAGTTTTGTTTTATTATTATAAGACAAAACAACCTTAAATATCAATATATATATATATATATATATATATATATATATATATATATATATATATATATATATATATATATATATATATATATATATATATATGATATTATATGATATTATATTATATAGCCAAGATAAAGATGAGGGAAAAACATGCAATTGTATCAACAAATCCATTTGTCCCATGAACAATCAGTGCTTGACAAAAAACATCGTTTATCAAGCCACTGAAGGAAAAAGTATATTTTAGCTTATGTGAAACTCCATTCAAATCTCGGTATGCGAACCACCTAAAATCTTTTAACATTAACAAATATAAAAATGAAACCGAATTTTTTAAAGAAATTTGGAACATAAAAGACAAAATGTTTACACCCTTAATTAAGTTGAAAATTGTAAAACGTTGCAATACTTATAACGCCTCATCAAAAATTTGCCATCTTTGCTTATTCGAAAAATTCCTCATTTTAACATATAAAGGTGATAAGTTATTAAATAAACAAAATGAGTCGATTTCAAAATGCAGACACAAAAATAAATTCCTTTTATCTTTTTTTGACACTGGAGATTAGCTGATACTTCGTTTTTTCTTTGGTTGCCATCAAGAGTGTCTTAACGACGTTAAGATCCCACTACACAGTATTTTGTAATTTTTAGCAGGTTTTTTGTTCTTGATTTTGTATACAATGGCTGATGATTGCCATATAGGTATGAAACTTTAAGTACCATAGAAAAAGTTGGTTTTTCTTCGTTAATATATATATATATATATATATATATATATATATATATATATATATATATATATATATATATATATATATATATATATATATAGTGCTGGGAAAAAGTCTTGCAACACGGCACAATTTTACACAAATCAATGTTTCCATGCCAGTAGGCTCAGTGTTATTACCTTATATTTTTATCTTTAGGTAAAAATATTTATAAAGACAATTTTGTAGCTTAAACAGTTAATTCAGTGAAAACCATGGCTAAGTTTCGGCAGCTCAGTAAAGAAGAAAAAGCATGCATTCAACGTCTTGCTAAAAGTGGTATGTCTCATGCAGACATTGCAACAATTTACATGGTTGAACGCACTACAATTTGGCATGTTGTAAAGCAGGTTATCCCCTTGTCTCCTAAAAAGAGGTCTGGACGTCCTAGAGTAGGGTGTCCCAAAAAAATTTTTTTTTTGAATTTTTTGATGCAATCCCTCTTAAAAGTTTCTTTGCAGTCTCTTAACAACCCATAATTTGTTTTTATTACATTTGAAAAATATTTAGAGGTTCCCCAAGGGTCATTAAGTTTTAGCGATGTCGGGGAATTTTCGTTAATGGCATTTGACGGCTCGACATCATCGAGTTTACAGAATACAGATCACATGTCTAATCGATCATAAAAATATAGTAAAAATGATTAGTTTCTGGTAGAGTTTAGAATAAAATTGGTTTATAGCACATCTTTATATGATTTCAATCACAAGCAAAGCCAATTTTAAGTTTTAATATTTTAACACTTAGCAATAGAAAAAGTAACTTTTTTATGCTCGTTTGAACACAATTAAAGACAATAATTTATTATACAAAATGGCAACAAGGTTTCGATTGTTCATTCTAAAATATGATAAATAACTTCTAAAATCTAATTGTCCACAAGATTGTCACGACTGCATTTGGAAAAGTCTTGTCTGTGTTTTTCAACAACCTGAAGTAGAAATTGTTTCTGTTCTTCATTCTTTGTTATTGCTGCATTAAAATTTTGGATGAGAGCAACGCCCTGTTCAGCACAATCATTAACACATGGCAAGTTATTGACAAGTTGACATGCCATCTGTTACATCATCAATGACAGTAACTAGGAAGAAACTTCAAGAAATGAGTAATTCCGCTGTTGTTTTTGGAAGAGACTTAAGCAAATGCGATCCTCTATCACTTTTCATTGTCAACACAAGCTGGGTTTTTTCTTTAGAAGACATATGCTGAGAGAACAAGGAAACTGTTGCTAGCTCTTGGCTGAGGTACCAGGAGAGACGCTTCATCATCTTCAAACCTTTGCCTGCAAAGCAGCATCTTCATACGTAAGCAGCCTTTGAATCAATAGAATGTCATTCAATGGTGGATCAGCAATGGCTTGACTTGAAAACCAAGATTGACAACAAATCTATTAAATCTCTTAATGCCCTGTAATTCACAAGCAATCAACTGTATAACAGCTTCATTACCATCAAAAAGCAATTCTATCTTCATTGCATAAATCGCCTTGGCCATCCAACGTGCTCTGTGAACAGCACCAGTTGTGCCAGAACTACCCCAGCACATTTTAAACCAATCATATAAGCCAAGAGTTGGAGAAATTCTCGATAGTCATCTCGTGAATGGCTGAGTTGAAGCTGCTCAGCAATTAACTCCTTCAGATTGTCACTTGCACTCACCAATGGCACTGGTCGTGGCATAGGCTGACGGTGGACCAACTCTGACCATTTCTCTTGGAATCTTTTAAAAAGCAAAATATCTGGTCCAGTTGACGGACCTAGACACACTCCATATGCATCAGACAACAACACCTCAAACATGTAGTGGCGATATGCCATCCATAGCAGATTGCGACCGAGAGCCTTCTCCAGAAGAGTGCAGACTCCACTCAGTCTGCTGGTATTTGAGGCTGTTGTATCAAAGCACATTCCAATGACTTGTTGAGCACTGCCCACTGTTCCAGAAGTCAACTTTGGTACTCCAAACAGTTTAATATTTCCATCAACAAGTGAAGAAACAAGAACTGCCAATCTATCAACTTAGTTGGTGTCTACTCCAGTGATGTCAGGTAGTAGTTTGCCATCCCAATGAACGACGGACTTAATAGGTAGAAAGTTATCCTTGATCTTCTGTGCAGCTTCACAACAAAAAAGCTGTCGTTGACGATGGACTGTACTTTTTGAAAGAACAACAGGTGTCGTGGAGCGTCCAATTTCATTAACCATTGATGCAATTATCATTGTTGATTTACGAATGCTGATGTTTATGTGGTCTAATACAGCAGCCACTTTTGAAGTCATCACACCAGCACACTTGGGTTGCTTGGTCGGTTTATCATTAGTTGGAGACTTTACAACAAATTCATCCATAGATTCTTCATCATATGAGGACCACAACTTTGATGATTCTGCTGTTTCCTCATCTTCAGTTTCCACATCTGCCTGCATTAATCGCTGTCCTGCTGAAGCTGCTCTTTGCTGGAGTACTAATCGTTCTTTACATTTTGCTGAATTGCGGAAAAACATTTTATTGTCCACAGATCCAATGCATCCGGTTCTAGATTCTTTCTGGAACTTTAGAAACTGTCGGTCTTCCTTATTCTTGATAAGATTGTCAAAATCAGCATGACTGATATCAAACAAAATATCCAGCTTTTCATTGTATTCTTTTTGGTTCTGTTGATCCTTAGCATTATTCCTTGAACGATGTTTCATTAGTCCAACATTCTGTGAGTAAAGGTCTTTAATCTTTTGAACAATATCTGGTTTGTGTTGGACGGGTAATCTCGATTTTATCCAGAAGGCCAGTAGTTGGTCGTGTACTTGCTGTGCACTCTGAGCAACTGTCAGTTTCTGCTTCCTCTGGAAGTAAACAAAATTCTGCATAACATCACGACCTGAAGGAAGGCGAGTTCCAGTTATTATGTCACATGGATGGCCAATCAACCAGATCATGTCGGTACTTCGAGTTGTGTTAGGTTTACACTTTGCCATTGCTCCAGTCTTTATTCTACAATAAAAGTAAAAAACTTGTAAAAAATAAATATATAAGATATTTAAAAAATCTGTTTTTAATAATTTTTGTTAAATTTCTGCTTGAAACACTTGTCACTTGTAGAATATAATCTTTACTAGTATTTTGTTTTACATTTATAGCTATTTTAACAGTGCCAAATTAGTTTTAATTGAAGAAAAGGCGGGGGTGGATTTTAGAAAAAAAGTTACTTTGGTCAATTTTTTCCCCATTTATATTTTATATTATATTTTTAAATTATCATAAAAAAATTTAGTTGTTGTTGTGGGACCATTAAGAAACTTTTAAGAGGGACTGCATCAAAATTATCCACAAAAAATTTTATCAGTGATAAACATGGGACACCCTATCCTAGAGTCACTTCACACGTACTGACAGGATGGCAACCCTGGGAATTAGGAAAAATGAGGTCAGCAAATTATTGTCGACCTCAATCTTTTTGAGGTCAGCATCAGGTTGGCAAAAATTATTTGATACAAAGGTCTGACTGCAAAACATAAAAACAAGGTTGGCAATATTTTGCCAACCTAGGCAAAGGCAACCTTTAGTTAGGTCAGCATTGCCGAATGCCGACCCTAATTCTGAGGGCTGGGATGGTTACAATGGTCAAGATGAATCCTTCAATAACCTCTGGTGACCTACAGAACAGCATACCAACACTTTCTAATGTCTCAAAGCCCACAATCCGTCACAGACTTGCCGAATTAAACTTACCTGCATGAAGGCCATTTAAGAAGCCATTAGTAACTGAAAAGATGAGAAAAAAGCGCATTGAGTTCTGCAAGAAGCATCAAGATTGGACAGAAGAGCAGTGGACACAGGTGATGTTCAGTGATGAATCCGATGAAATTCACAGGTGATGTTCAGTGATGAAACTATGAATGCAAAAAAGTACCTCAACATTTTGGATGAATCTCTAATCAATTTCATGATTATTCATCAGTGCACAATTTTTCAACATGCCACACTGCGAAGTCTGTGAAGCAGTGGCTTGGATCAAAAAACATACAGTTGCTTGATTGACCTGGAAATTCTCCAGATCTCAACCCAATTGAAAATCTTTGGATGTTAATCAAGAAGCGTGTATCTGTTAAGAACTGCAGTTTATTAGATGGTTTAAAAAATGCTATTCGTCATGTATGGTGTACAGAAATTACATTAGGACTATGTGAAAATGTTTCCAAATCCATGCCCAAACGAATTAGTGCTGTGTTAAAAAACAAAGGATATCCTACCAAATATTACATCTAATAGTACATCTGTTTAAAATGATTATACAATGTAATAAAAATAATTGAACTTGTTTTGGTGAAAATATAATGTTTTTGGAAGTATTATTGTTTTTGGAAGTAATTATGAAAAGTAATTACAATGTTGCAAGACTTTTTGCATTTGTGTAAACATTGCAAACATTGATTTGTGCAAAATTGTGCCTTGTTGCAAGACTTTTTGCCAGCACTGTGTGTATATATATATATATATATATATATATATATATATATATATATATATATATATATATATATATATATACAGGCCTCGGCAGGAATAAATGAGTACAAGAGCGGAAAAAAGCTCTCCTAAAACGAACTTGTGGAGCTGTGCGAGCTGCTCCTCATTTAAATCGGCGCTCTTTTTTAATTACAATTTTTTTTTTGCAACAACCGTGCCTTTTAAAAACCATTTCAGTATATTATGCAATTAATTTTTTCTAAATGACATTGTGTTTTTTATTTTATTTATAATAATAATTATACTTTTAAGAGAAAAATTATACTTTTGTGAGAGCCGTAAATAGCTCTCGTAAACTGTTTCAGGGGAGTGTGGGCGAGAGTGAGAGCTAAAGCTCTCGCTTCCTGCTGAGGCCTGTAAATATATATATATATATATATATATATATATATATATATATATATATATATATATATATATATATATATATATATATATATATATATATGAAAAAATTAATAAAACTTCAATATCAAAAAAATTTAAATTACAGGAAGTCGCAAACATCATAACTACTTTAAATTTTCACACATTTGTGGAATATGCTGATACTATTATAAAAAGCAACAGGGTCATTTTTTTACTATCTCGATGGGATATTAGTTTCAGAGGAATAAGACCGTATTGAAACAATTTGATTTGCTTTCAATTATTTCTTTTGTTTTCATCCATACTTGTTGCCCTGCTCCATCACAACCATCCTTAAAACACATCTGATACTCATTGCCGTCTACTGGAATAAAAGACTCTTTAATTATAATCAAAACAGAATCAATTGTCATTTTTACAAGCTCTTTGTATTGAACAGAAATACCATTTTCAGTCAAAACATTTCTAATTGTAGGGCGCAGTTTTTTTCTTCCTTCAAGCAATTCATTGGTTATTGGAGAATAGAAACCTTTAGTAGCAAAATGAAATCTTAATTTTCTCATTTATTCTTTAATTAATGTAAGAGAATGCATTAGAGCAATGGATTCATCTATGCTAAAGATATGTTGTTTCCATATGGTTTGTAAAAAAAGCATTTCTAACACGAGCAATACTTCTATTATTTTGTGTGTTAACTCTATGTAAGAGGTGTTAACCCAATAACTGGTTAACATGCAACTCTGGGCATTCATTAGTGATTAAGTTGTTTATATAATTGAGAAGTTCCTGTGTCCTCTCCTTTTTCATTTTATCACCCAGTTATGTAAAAGATTTTCTTTGCTTTGAAAACACAGTTCTGTTATGTAAGCATCCTCTACTTCATAAATAATATCTTTTGATGCTTGTGAAAGTATAAATGTGTATCAATTTTTCTTGAAATGTTTCTCCTTCAAGCATTTATAACATTTCCATGTTTTTTCACACACATTTTTAAACTCCAGTAAATTAACTAATAGTTCAAAATTTTTAAAAAGTATTTCTTTAATGGCTGAATATGTTACTGAACTTGACTTGACAGTTTTGTCAGCTTTAACAAATTGTGTGAATAAATCTATTTCTGTGATGTATTTTACATTTTTATTTTCCTTGTTTATTTTTTATTTTACTTAACTTTTTTTTTTTTCATATACAAATTTATCTGACTTTCTGAATAAATAACTTTTATAGACATTCTCAAACAAATTTTTTTTTGTCTATTTCCATCTCTGGGCCCACTGTGTTCCTGTAATTTAATTTTTTTTGGTACAAATTGAAGTTTTATTAATTTGATCATTTACTTCAGATGAGTCTTTATTAAAAAAACACAGTGTTAAGTAAAAGAAAAATTTTGCGTGCAAAAAAGTGATTTTCTACTACTTTATATATATATATATATATATATATATATATATATATATATATATATATATATATATATATATATATATATATATATATATATATATATATATATATATTATTATTATTATTATTATTATTATTATTATTATTATTTTTATTATTATAGGAATGAAATTATATATATATATATATATATATATATATATATATATATATATATATATATATATAATATATTTCATAATTTATATATTTTATATAGATGGTGTCTCGATAAAAATACTCATCTTGGGCAGATGTTAAATGCATTCGGCTGCTGCCTTGTAGAAGGCCTCCTAGGCAAAGACTTAAGGGGTAAACAGATTTTATCTGTTGACCAGCCTCGCACCCCTTCTCCATCTATTAGGCTGGCGCAGATGTATTTTTAATACATTGTTTATAGTTTAGGATGTTGAATGCTGGAGCTTCTTGACTCAATGCATGGGTTTTGCTTGTGTCTCTCTTTTTATGACTAGGCAACTCATTCTATTATCTCCAAATGAGGGTACAGCTCTAAAACTCAGTTTTATGGTTCTGAGGCCGGCTGGTAGTCAGGTTTCCCAAACTCTGTGGTAGCTCTCAGAGAGGCTGATTCCATCAACAGCTGAAAAATATCAGAGTACTAACAGTGCCATGTAGCGCATGGATGGTGTCCCTGTTTGTACTTTTGGTGTGCATTGCCAAGGCCACATTGGAGCCCTTTGTTACGGCTTAGGGTTTATTAGTGGAAATGAGGCAATTGCTTGGGCTATAAAACAGTGTACTGAGTACTATCTATGTTTAGAGTCAAGTTCTTTAACAAATTTAAAAATGAATAAATATATAGTACTTTTTTTTAAAAAATTCTTTTGTATAGAAACTTTAAGTATGTTTATTAAACATAAAATAATGTTTTTATGATAAAACATGTGAGAATTATACATTAAACCAATAAAAAATTTTAACATAAAACCAGCCAGGTAAATTATTTTGATGGCAATAGAATCTGCAACTGCCATTATACCTCAATTAAATCAAATTTTAATTAAATGTACCATCGCTATTGAATAAGAGGTGTAAAATTTATTTCAAAAAAATTATAAAAACCAGGCATTCTTGATTATTATTTTGATTATTGACATTGTTGTTGTTACTATTGTAACTATATAAAGAAGTTTGTTTTAAAAAGTTATAAAAACCTGGCATTTTTGACAAACAGTTCCAAGCATCTTATAGCCTTTAAGAAGATAATCACCCATCAATTTGCTTATTTTATTTGATCTATCCCGTTTTGCTTTAAGCTTGCTTTTTTCTTCATCAGACAATTCTGGTAAATCTAAATTACAATTTATTAATGTAATTTTTAATCGACATTATTAAATTATAAATGTAAATTAAAATGTATAACATAGCTATATGTTTAACTATATTGTGAGCTGAAAAACAAATAATTATTTACCACACATTCTTTTTTGCAAGAAAAATTAATATAAGTTAATAGACAACGATAACTTTATTAGGACAAATTAAAAAAACCGCTTTTATGTTTATATTTTAGGTATCACGATAATTTTAAAGCGTATCTCGCGTCTAATTTAGACTCGTCGTCTAGCGGACGTCCGTTAATGATACAGTTGGATTTTACCATCAGTCTATCTTCTTTATCTTATTATTTTACCATCAGTCAATTTCCTTTATCTTGTGGAAAACTCCTATCAGCTTAGTAAATCAGGAATTCTACTAAATGTTTTTTGAAAATTATTTAGAAATTAAATTTTGTCATATTTGAATCCATATTTTTAACGAATCAAAAAGTTACTGATAATTTTTGTAGTTAGTATCAGAAAAAATCCAAAAGCTCTCTCTAAAAAATATAAAGTTGCGTGAAACTGTGCGGTTAGCTAATTATCATAGTTCAAAAGTATAAAAACAGTTTTGTCAATTTTAAATGGGTGTTATTTCTAACAGTAAAAAGTGGCACACAATTTAATTTTGCAGGATTTGTAAAAAGCGTAGGTAATATGTCTAAAAATGCAAAGAAATTTAACTGATACCTTAGATGTATCTATTGATAGATCTAGGGTATCATTAAGGCTTAAAAAAGAAAAAAGATGTTTTAGTATACAAAGTGACCCATTACAGGAGAAGGCGCTAAGTTTTATAAAAATATTTTCATGTCAATGCAAGATGGTCTTAACATAATAATAATAAAAAAAAACTTGTGTGATTTTTTCACACACATGATATAACATGAATTGAACAAAAATCGAAAAATAAAATAATACATAAATAGAAAAAAAAATTAAAAAATACACCTTTTGCGTTTAAGTTGGCCAATTTTCACTTTAATTTGGCATTTTTTCATTTTGAATTTGGCAATTTTCACCATAATTTGTAAATTGAAAATTGCCAAATTAAAATGAAAAAATGCCAAATTAAAGTGAAAATTGACTTAAACGCAGAAAGATGTAGTTGTTTATTGAAAATTTTTCAATTGTAGAGAGAAATCCATGTTTTCGTTTTACTTGTAATAATGCAAACACAATCCAAAGCTTAGTTAACATAGCCATAAGGTTATTTTTAGCATTTTAACTAACTAGTCATATCGTCAGAGACGTATTTATATTTTTGGCACCCTGGGGGCACTGTTCCTTAAAGCGCCCCATTTAAGGAATAACTCTCAACTTTGATATGAATCACCCCATATCAAAATTGAGAATTATTCTTTATAGAGGGCGCTTAAAGAAACAATGTCCCAGGGAGCCAAAAGTATAAATACGTCTTAAAACACAAAAACATTTCCAATACAAACGTAAAGTTAAATTAATCAATTAACATAAATAAAAAAATTATAATTCTTTACGTGAGTTTTTGTTTTGCAAATGCATTTATAATGTCATTAAAGTTCATATCTATATTATACGCAGATTCAATTGAATCTGTACTTACCGTAGATTACCAAATACTGGTGATTATCTTAATAGGTAAGCATTACTATATATTGATCAATAGATAGAATTGCTAATCTATTAATACAATCACCAGTCTTTCCCTACCGATAAGATTTAACTCTCTTTAGTGCTGAAATGATCTCTCGGCTACATTCTTAATGCTATATCTACGTAAGGAAACAGTTCTTGAAGTTTATCAGTTCTGATTATTTTACAAATATCTTATTTAGCTTTAGGTTTTATACTTTCAGTTAAACTCATTAGATAACTTCTGAACTTGTTCACACTTGTTAGCAAATGAAGACGAAAGGTCATTTTTATATACATTTTAAAGTATTTTTAAAGTATTATTCATTATTTAAAATTTCATTTTTATAGTTTCAAATTATTTGAGTTTCATCGTTGCACAATTTTATTCGTTTCAGTTCAGTATCTAGTTTATCAATAATAGCATAAAATGTTTAAACTTTGAAGAGTCTCGAATTTCAAAATTTATTTCTTATATTTGCAGTAAATTTTTTTTTTCTTTAATCATATTTTTCGATATGTTTTATGTTTCAAATTATTAAATCTTCTCTGTTCATAGGTATCAACCAGGAAAAAGAGTTTTATGGAATTTCTCTAAACTTTTGAAACATTTGGCCTACAAAAATTCTATAGATTTTTTATAGAATCTCTGTTAATTTCTATAGAAATTTATATATATAGAACTTTTTTTTCTAATTTTTTTTCTATAGAAAAAAAAAAAATTTATAGCGATTTCTACAGAAATTAATAGATATTCTATACAAATTCTATAGAATTTCTATAGGCCATATGCTTCGAAAGTTTATAGAAGTTCTATAGAACTCTTTTTCCTGAGTGACATATCCCTATAAATAGATATTCTTAGATCTGATTCATATCAAGTTAACAATTCGTATTAACTTACAACTGTTTTTAAGTCTCAATTGACTGCAATTGTTTTCTAGTTTTGTTGAATCTTTCTATCACCCCATAATGTGGACATTATAACTGTCTCAAGACTGTTTATTTTTAAACATAGTTTTAGCTTTTGATAACATTAGCTTCTAATTTTGTGATTAACTTTTCTGATTTATGATCGCTTATAAAAGACAGTGCATTAATTATTTCATTCCAGTTTTTGTTGAATTAATGTTTGCATCAGATCTTGCTGACCTTGCTGATCAACCTATACTGCTATTATACTATCTGTCGATATTATCTTTAAAAAATATTTTGTAAATTTTTTATTTATAATTTTTTAAATTTAAATCTTGTTATTCTTTAATTATTGTAAAACACAAACTTTTTATTTACTACGTGAAATATTTAAAATGTATGTAAAATTGTACCATGTACAATTTTACATACATTTAAAGTACCTTCTAAGGGCCTCCGCATTCTTTTTTATTGTAATAAAAATCTTAACTTGTAATTGTTTATATTTTATATTGCCGCTTGTAAGTTTTATTAAATATTACCGAAATGTTTTAAAATGTAATAAAGAACAACAACAACAACAAAAATCTGATTGTTTTTTAAGTGATTTTTTCTGACAATTAGATGGGAAATACTTTAGAACAATTTAAATAAAAGATTTTCTGTTTTAATTAAGTTGTTCCAAAGTATTTCCATCGATCCCTTACAAAAAAACCCAGCGAACTTCCAGCGAAAGTTCGCTGGAAATTTAAAAAATAACTGGAAATTTACTAAGATCACTGAGTTTTCGGCAAAGTTCGCTGGATTTCCATAGAAACAAAAGACTTCGCTGAAAGTTCGCTGGATATCCAACGAAAAACTTCCAGTGATCTTAAAGTTCGCTGGAAGTTTACTGGGTTTCTTGCGAAATATTTCACCGTTTTTCCAGTGATTCAAAAAGCGTTGCTGTTACAACTTCTGTGAGCAGTTAAAACTTGGAAAATTGATAATATATCTTCTTAAAATAATATTTTAAATTTTATATAAAAGTAATCCTTTTTATTTTTTGCATCTAATAGATGATCATAGATGATGTTATATTATTAATACTATTAGTAATATATGGCATTGTATGTCATACATTTCTATATCTTATGAACATGAGCAACAGGTATATCATAAAACAACCCAAAAAGTGTTCTATATAATTAAAAACAAACACTGGATTTAAAAATATTTGAATAAGAAATATTTGTAAGGGTAGCTCAACGCACATTAAATGGGTTTCTAATATTAAAAATTAATTCTTTGAAAAGTTTTTCATGTTGGGTCAGTAAAATCTTTAAATAAATTATTTTTTTATAAAATAATGATTATTTTTGAAATTTTTATTTAATTTGGAATCATTGAAGACACAACATATGATATATATATATATTTATATATGATATATATATATATATATATATATATATATATATATATATATATATATATATATATATATATATATATATATATATATATATATATATACATATATATATATATATACATATATATATATATATATATATATATATATATATATATATATATATATATATATATATATATATATATATATATATATATATATGATATATATATATGATATATATATATATATATGAAGGGCTCAATGGAAAAAGTGCCTAACCCACATTTGAAAAAATTGCCTTTATAATTACTATTAATTTTAAATTTAAAAAACTATTTAAAAAAAAATATTCAATGTATTGTTGGCATTAATTACTCTGTCAGTTTTAAAAATGTGGGTTAGGCACCTTTTCCACTGAGCAATAATAAATTAGTAAAAACACTTATCTAATTTTTATTTTTTTCTACAACTTGTTTCTCCATCAGAAGGATCATCAGGAAGGAATCTTCTTGGTGATCCTACTGATGGAGAAACAAGCTGTAGAAGAAAATAAAAATTAGATAAGTGTTTTTACTAATTTATATATATACATTTGTGAAGTTGCTTTAAGTACTAATAAGCAATGTACAAAGTGTTTGTAATATTTTACATTATCCTATTTTTATAAGAAATGCAATTATTTTCATATTTTAAACATAAACAAACAGTATAAAAACATGTGTGATAACAATTGGATATATTTAGCAAGTCTTGAAGAAAATGGGCAAGCAACAATTAGACTTGTTGTTAATACTGATGGTGTTCCTGTTTTTAAATTATCAAAGTGGACCTTGTGCCCTTTGCTAGCATCCATTCCAGTGCCGGCTTATGGAATTATGGGCCCAGGGACTTTGTAAATTTTGGGCCCCTTTGAATAATAAAAAATAAGGCATTAAAATAAAGCGCATCTGAGAACCCTAGTACTAACTGAACTTTGAAAATAAGTCTCAATCAAAATTATATTGTCTAGAACAAAAATACAAGTTTTAACAATTAAGAAATTCTGAAATTGGCAAATGGCAGGTACAAGAATAAAATACAAGTTTAAATAATTAAGAAATTATTTGTTTCTTTCTTATTTTTGAATGTGCAAATCAATTGATGATGCTTGTTGTAGCCAACTCATCAAATACGTTGTTTTTAATTGCAAGAACGGCAATCGAAAACAACGTATTTGATGAGTTGCTCTAGCTGCATTGAACTTCTTAAATAACTTTTAGATCTTTTCAGCACAGAAAAGCTTCTTTCACCTGAACAATTTGAAACCATCATCAATAAATATATTTGGAG